GATAGGGAAATCGCTACTGTATGAAGAACAGTGGACGAGTCGTGACAGACCTCATGTTTTCCTTAAATGGGGAAATGCTGTATTGAAACCTAAATTGAGCAGAGGTAGGTCTCGATGATTATAGCATATGTCAGCGCTGAGGAAGAGGTGTTTCGGTTAGGGAATAGGGTGATTTTAGGAAGTGAGAGGATTGTGGAACAAACGGAGAAGAGATGATGCGAGTCACGTAGAGAGACCAGGTTTTTGTTTGAATGAGGAAAACACTGTAGTGAAATCGAAATTGAGAAGCGGAATTTAAGGCTGATTATGGCAAGTGTCAGGTTTAAAAAAGAGGTGGCTAAGTTAGGGAATAGAGAGGCTTAGAAGAGTTAGAGAACTGTGAAAGAAGAGGGCAAGCAAATCGAGGGGAGTGAGCCAATTGTTTTGAAGGCCGAATGTAGTGGTTCTATGGTGGTATGGGTTGGAAAAGGTAATTGAAGATTTGAAGATGGAAGAAGAAGTGGAGGTGCTGAGCAGACAGTTGAGTAGTGAGACAGAGTCATTCTCGAGCTGAGGAATATAAAAGGACTGGGTTCGAGAGGATGCTGGCCGCTCAGGTTCCAGGACTTAAGGTCCATGAAGGTGCCTCAAAAGGGGAAATTATGCAAAAAATTTGTAGGATTTCGCGGTTTCTGTGGTTTGGATGATTCCTATGTGTTAGTGCCATCAACTTGATTGTGTACATGAATTGATTCTATTCATGACATATGATTTTTATGATGTATGATGACACAGGTTGACACAATGGATTTGTATTTCAACAGGTTCCAAACTATTGAGATCTTCAAGGTCTTTGAATATTTTGTTTTCACCAGTGAGATCAGATGGATTCCTTGTCAGTTTGCTAACTTAACCAAGTCCCTCTGTGGGAGGGGGGACTTAGTTAAGTTAGGTCAGTTCGGCTGTAGAAATCCCCGTAGGAGTTGCATGAACCAAGTGCAAGAAGCACAGTGCGATTTGAAAATAAAATGCTGCATCCATGAGTATCACAAGAAGAGCTAACTGAGCACCTGCATTGACTTTTCTATCACACTGCCGTAAATGTGAGGCTCTGAGTCAAAATAGAAAGAAAGAGTGGGTCATGGGCCACCTGGACCATCTTGACATCTAACAGTACGGCTTGTTAGAGAATGAGTATTGGATCTGAGGCAGCCGAGGTCCAACAGAAGTTTTACATACACACATGAATGCATCAAGAGCGAGCCTCCCAATGGCTCCCAATACCTTCCAAACTGTGGAATCGGCCCCATGGTGCCTATTCATGGTGCTTATTATACTGTGGTGGGCCGAAAATCATGCGAGCAGTTTTAAAGTGATGTTTTGGAGTACATTACTCAAGGAACAGCAAGGAAAATTCGAGATATCAGAATTTGAACGTGAAGCAAGATTCATTACAACTGGCATTAAAAGTGTTTCGCAAAGAAATCATACATCAAGCGGAAAGTCAGGAAAAGGAAGGGATCTGATCCCACTGACATAATCTCAAGTTGTATTGAACAAGTTCATTTTAAGTTTTGTTGGAAAACATGTTTAGGCAGACGTTGGCCAGGCCAGATGATCATGTCCTTGGCCTATTGCCAGGACCCAACTTTGGGACCAGGTGGCTCTGAAACCCTGGTAGATTTAGGAGTTGGAGTTGGACTTCGATTCCACGGGGTTTTTTTCTAGAGGGGGGTTGGCTCCCGGGCATGGGGTCTGTACAGTCTCCATGACGGAGATGGATTCCTCTTGGCCATGGAGCCTGTACTGTCTCCTTGGCCAGGAGAGATCCCACCCGCCCACGTACCACTCTTCATGGCCGGGAGAATGCCTCTCGGGCATGGAGTGTCAGCCTCTGGGTAACTAACCTGAGTGTTTAAGGGTGAGAAGGTTGTTACTATGAGTTGACTGAGTGTTTTGAGTGTGGTGAGTGTTAGGTAGTGGGTGATTAATACCAGTCCTGTAATGAGGAGGTTTCACTCTATCAGTATGGTCTTTACTGAGAGGCTTGCTATCAACAGCGCATCCATATCAATACTAGGTATTAATAGGCATCCAGGGTACTAAGAATCACCTGGGATTGTGTTTGTTATTCCCAAAAGATAATGGGCTAACAATACTTATTAAGCTTTAACAAAATTGGTTGAAGATTAATAAATATTGTTGAGGGAATATTCAGCAAGGCTATGAATATTGTGGATAAGTTGAGTAATGTACTGAAGCTTAAGAACAATAAAGGTAGACTTGATTTAAGTTGAGTTACGTGTAATGTATCACAAATAAATGTTAACTGGGTTTAACTGGTGTCTGAATATTCTGGGGATTAATCAGTGAAAGGGGCACGGATTATAAGTTCCAGAATATTTGGAAAGGGAAGAATGAGCGCTCAGAATCAAGGGAGCTTTGGCCAGGAGAATGAGCACATCAAATTGAGTGACTGATCCTTATTTGTAACTAGAGGGCAGGGCGGCTCCGCCGCTGCACTCTCATCCCCCACAGCAATCCCATCCTCTTCACCAACTTACACCTGTTATGTTTCACTCAAGGTTAGACCCGCACCACAGTTAAAGTGAGACTTTCCCTCTAATTTCAATGGAACCATCCCTCGCCAGGAGAACTTGACCCATGATTTGTACCTAACCTGGTGAATGACATTCCCCAACCTCCACAGGGTAACAAACCATTGACACACCCAAGCAACAGATGAAACCAGGTTTAGACCTCATCAATTCAGCACATGAGCATGACAGTGGAAAGAATTATTTACAGTAGTTTTAATAGAAATACAACAATCTAGACTATTGCAGGAAGTGAGGTCAATAACTACAAGGTGAATATGGACTTCTGAACAACATTCAACACTCCATTCCTGATTTCAGGCTTTGCCACCAACAGCTTTTTTACATTAGACACACGCGACAACGCAACATACAGTTGTCCATGAGCAAAGCAGTCTGTCTCCAGCAACACACCGACGCATGCCAGAGTTTGACCCTGAGATTTATTTATTGACATGGCGTAAGCTGGACGAATTGGGAACTGATACCTGAAAAAGCTATAGCCATCAGCAGAACTGCTCTTGTTTTGTAGCTTTATCTTTGGTATGAGAATCTCATCCCCTTTGAATGGTCCCGACATTAATTCTCCCAAGATAAACCCCTCGCCAATTTCCTTCACAACCAATCTTGACCCATTACAAACCCCCCTCGCAATATAGAGATTCCTCGTTACCACGATTGGCATTCCGACCTTGAGGAGAATTTTGTGTTTGGGTAATCCTGGTGGTGAAAGTGTATTTACGCATTCTTCGGGCAGACTGTTCCAACCTTCAGGGTCTGGAATGTCAATTGACTTTGACACTACACCCCGTCCAGGTAACCTCATCGTTATTTCATCATTGAGAATCTGGACGTCTTTGATTAATGGGGCAAGGATGCACCGATCCATAAGGTAATCTGCGTTTTCCGTCGATGGTTGTCCCGCGTAGTCAGCCAAGTCTCTGTAGACAAAATTGACAAGTGCTGTTCGGCTTTCCTTTGGCGTAGGGAAACTGCTGATGTTGACATGCTTAGGCTTGATAACGTCGTTCTCAAGTTTGTTGTAATTGCCTTCGCCAATTCCCAAGAGCGTTCTTGAAAATGCCTGGTTCCTTTTGGCCTGCTGGCCACTGACTTGTAGATCCAGACGCATGTTTCGTGTTAGCCTGAGCTGTTTAACATATCTCCAAATGAAAGAAGACTTCAGTGTTGCCTGCGATGAAACTGGGAATTCCCCAAACTTAACCACAGGCAGAATTTGACGGAAATCTCCTGCAAAGATTACAATTTTCCCTCCAAAGGGATCAAGAGAGTTGCACAGACGCTTCAGGGTCCGGTCCACTGCTTCAATTGAATTCTTGTGGATTGTAACAATTTCGTCCCAGATTATGAGGCGGCAGTCGACTAAGGAATGACTCGTCACGGTGTTATCCTCAATGCCACATTCAGCATTGGGCTGACAGTCGATAGGGATCTTGAATGCTGAATTCCCCGTCATTCCACCTTTCAACAGCAGTGCTGCAACTCCAGAAGAGGCTACCACACTCCGAACAATGCCCCTTGAATCGGCCAGGTCTATGATTGAGTTGAGCAGGAATGTCTTTCCTGTACCACCGGGACCGTCAATAAAGAAAATCTGAGCCTTGTTGCTTGATAGGCATTGCCGTACTTGAGCGTAGATTCCTCTCTAGTCTTTGTTAAAAAGTGAGACGTGTTTGTTCAACCGGGCTTCAACCACTTCGACCGGTTCTGTCAGCCTGCTACTAATCAGAGCCAGCCTGAACAAAGCATTTTACATATAAATTAGATACATTATTACTTATATATGTACATACATTTAAAAAAATAAAAATATACTATTTAAATAAGTGGAAGCACTATAATAGAGACATTATTACATAGTACACTTACATTGTAATATTTTAAGAGAAAAACATTTAAATAATTAAATAAATACTGGAAAATAACATTTTTTTTAACCAGAATCTCCTAATAACTTCTGAACCTTAAGCATAACTCAGAATA